GAAAACGGCTGTGCAGATTTGTATGCACATTTCAGTGAATTTTCTGCATAGCACGAGGCACTTTCCTTAAAACTTTTAAAAGAATCCGCATCAACTCTTGTAAAAAATTAAGCTGTTGCGGCTTGGTTCCTTTCTACTAAATGCGACCCTAAATAGTGGTCTCTTCTTGCAAAAATAAGCTCAAATTCCCTTCATTCTGAAACAAGGAACCGCCATCTTTTACCCATCCACGAAAACACCTATCTTCACAGAGCAACCATCAGCACATACATCGTTTCTGAGGTGAGCGAGACATACTGGTCTCTCATCGCGAAATGTAGTCCAAATTACCTTTTTGTACACGAGAACACCATTTTTCATCCTCTCATACTTTCTTTCACCATCCGAGCCCACAGCGCCACACCGCGCATTCATTTCATCAGACCTGATCTGCCATGCCAAGGAAAAACGCCGTATGAGCATTCGAATATTGCCAAATTTCCTCTTAAAAAATATCTACTTTTGAAGGAAGTTATGAGTATTCTTCCTTGAAATTTTCAGAATTTTTAGGTACAGTTTCGAACAGATAAAAACTATGTCGATAAGAAAAGTTCAATGGAATATTTGTCGATGATAAAAATGTCGATCGATTTGTGTCGATCGAAAAAGTGTCGACCGAATTGCGTTTCGATTTTTTGATTGAATTGGGTCGAGTGAACCGACGTCGATCGAAACGATGCGATGTCGACGTATAAGTGCTTTTTGATTAAGGATTTTAAAGTGAAATTTTCGGACGAAACAATGTCAATCGAATCTATGTCGATTGATTTGCGTTTTCATTTTTCGATCGACTTGTGTCGATGATTCTTTTACCCACCGAAAAATCGGATGAGAGATATTCTCAAATTTTCCCGAAAATTCGTCGTTTTTCGGAGGAAATTAGGCAACGCCTGGTGGCTCATACGGCGTTCTTCCTCGGCACGGCAGCGAAGACCTCGACCGTTACTTTTAAGTAACCTCCCTTATTTTCCCCCTCGTTTCGTTTCGCAATGTCGCGAAATTCGCATTCGCGGCACGATTAATTTTTCCGCCCGTTTTCCCGGGCAATTTCAACAAAGGAGCGGGGCCGAAACCCCTGCGAGGTAGGCCATAAATCAACAGCCCCGCAACGTCGGTGCTGGTTCGGTAGTCATTTTGTCAAAACTTTAAATTTCTTCGCGATTTCTTCCCGAACCCCCTCCCTTTCCACCCCCCGCCCCCCCGCCCGGCGGTTTCATTAGTCATACACCACTATTGTTCTGATTTGTAACATCCATCACTAGGGAACGGAGGAAGTTTATTCAGAACTCTTTTTCTCTCCCCGGAGCGCGGTGCGGCGCACAGTGGGTCGAGTTGTAGGAGAGTTCGGGCAAAATTCTGAAATTTTGGAAGCTTATACAGGGTGATCAAAGGTTAAGTGGCCAGACTGCAGAAGCCTGTCCTATGGGTCAATATAGAGTACCTGATTAGCGAGAGTATGGACAGATCGCTTCATGGAGGTCTTAGGACCCAAAAGTGCAGCCATCCTTCACTGGAAATAAAAATCACTTTAAGCTTAAATCCGATCGAATCAAGAGTATTTTTTCTGGTCCATGTTTTTGAGAGTCAGGACTCTAGATCCAATGTTTTTTTTTTTTCAGTGTTCTAACCAACTTCTAACACGCAAAATTTCACTGCCAGTCTGCAGAGTCTGCAAATTCCAATTCTAACCAAGATGGCCAAGAATGTACAGAAATGAGCGTTCTCCCGCAAAAATGAGTAAATTTATGCAAAAACTGAGTGCGGCGTACGTAAATTCATAAACTATCTAAAAAAAAAAATCGAAATCTCAATTTAAAGAGAGGGTTTTGGGGTGTTCCGCCTTCTGCAGTCTGGCCGTTTAACCATGTATCACCCTGTATTTTTGATAATATGAGACACGAAGTTTAAGAGTGGTGTCATTGGTTTTTTCGTGAAATTTTCCTCCAGGAATACTCTTTGAGATCGAATTTGTGACGAAATAAACATCAAAATTTGAAATTTAATCATGTCCGACCTTTCTTTTAGCTCGTGCCACTGCGCGTCAGGGAATTTTAGTTTTTCCTCCCCGAGAAGCTTGCTCGAGGCAACC